GGAATAGTTCTGCTTGAACGGAAATTATATAACTGAAGGCCACTGGCGTGAATGGTAATTCAATATTGATATATTCTCATAATCGAATTCCGTCTGTTCACTGTGCCTTGAAGAAATTCCCAGCTGTTCCAGGAAGACGGCATTCACTTAGTCGAAGGAAAAAAATACATACAGGTAAAACTTCTTGGAAATTTCCCGCTATTCTTGGTAGTCACAAACGTTGCCGAAGTTTGTATTTGGAGCCTGCGTGCAGCAATGAGGATGCCCTGGAGAGTGGACTGGTCTCCCCTGAGGAGGTCCTTGGGCCTGCGCAGAGGGAGGCGAAGCAGCGACGGCGGCGGCGGCAGCGAGATGCCTGGGAGGTACCTCAGCCAGGCCGAGCAGTATGCCCGAAGCCTCGTCTATGCCACCATCATGCGCTCGAAGGCCAAGTTCTCTGCTGCTGCGAGGTACCGCCTCGGCCGAGATGGGGAAGAGGACGAAGACGAGGACGACGAAGAGGAGATCCTAGAGGGCGTGGACGAAATTGGCGAGGAAGCGGAGGCGTTGAGTGGGATGGTCGCTGGGGGCCAGGCCAAGGCGCCCAAGAGATCCCGCTCGATGAGGGTCCGCCTGAGGAAGTCCCTGAAGAGCCTTCGCGATCCTATAGCCGAGTTCTTCGTGCTGGGCAGAGGCGAGAGGTCCAAGCCAGCTCCGCGGAGGTCGTCCGTGGCCGTGGACGCCCCGATGACCTACATCAGCTATGGGTCCTTGAGTGCCTCGCCCTTGCTCTTCAGGAGAGGATCCGATGCCTGGACACCCGAGTCCTCCCCCATAAAGCATGCTAATGGCTTCTGTTCCTCACTGAAGGACATTAGTGAGGATGGGGAACAGGAAAACGTGGCCTCCAACCAGATTCTCCCGAAGTCCCCCAAGAAGAGAAAGGTCTGTCTCGTGTGCGATGACCCGGATTTTGAGGAGGAAGGTCAGACCAAAAGGTCGGTCTCTTGGAAGTCCAGTGTGGACGAGCAGGGTCACTCTGACGTCAACCACAATCTCAAAATCCCCATGCAAGATGATCAGGGTTTTAATTTTTGGATTCAGGAGAAGGAAGCACTTCCTGGACACCCGAAGCAACGCAAGGAGACGGAAGCCCTGGACCAAACGAGTCTGTCCAGAGAGGGTCCTGAGCACCAGATTCTCCAGAAGGGGAACTTCCAGAGCCAAGGGCGATGCAGCATGACCCTGGAGCAGAGGAACGTGAGCCACCAAATCAAGGGCCACGTGATAAAGCTGGATCTCATACAGGAACAAGAGATCCTACGAGTGGAGGAGATTCTGGTCCTGGAACAAGATTCTCACAGTATGGAACAAGAGATGAACCGCCGGAATCTGGAGATGAATGAAATGAATAAAGCTGCTATTGAAAGTGTGATAACAAAGTCCAGCCGAGATGAAGCCACCGGTAACTCAACATGGAGTCAAAACATCCAAAGGCCCGAGGCAGAACAAATTTGTCAACTTCCACAAGTGGATGAAGGTATCCAGCACTCAGATGTGAAGCATATTACTCAGCAAATGGAGGGGGAGCAAATAAGCCAGGCAACCCAAGTGGATGAGAACGTTCTGTGCGAACCGGTGGAACCAGATGTCCAGCTTCCACAAGTAGATCAGCCACAGGTAGAGGAACACCATGCAATCCACCCTTCGCAGGAGAAGCATACTTTACAGCACCCTCAGGTGGAACAAATTGATTATCAGTCACAAGTAGAGCAAGTGATTGATCTCCCCCACCTAGAGCAGGGCAGTGAGCCCGTGCAAGTGGCACAAGATATCCAGTGCTCACAGGTAGAACTGATTATCCAATCTTCACAAGAAGATCAAAATGAGCTTCAGAATACGGAACAATCTGTTGATCATTCTCTTGCAAAACAAATCCAGCATCAGGAAATAGAACAGGTTCCCCAGCGCCCAAAAGTCGAACAAGTTGCCCAGCATCCACACGTGGAACAGATCTCGCAGCCACAGGTGGAGCAAATGCAGAATTCACAAGTGGACACCCATGTGAAGAACCATCAAGTGGAGCAATTTATCGAGCACCCTGTAGTGGAAGAACCTAAGCAGCATCCACAAGCAGAACAGCGGTCGGCGGTGGAGCAGCTTCTCCAGCACGCCAAAGTGGAGCAGATAATCCAGGAAGCAGTTATTCACCATTCCGAGGAGGCCGCCCCCCTGCTGGAGCCGAAGCCCTTCAGCGTGGAGGATTCTCTCCTGAGAGCGCCCGTCAGGGTCCTTCGGCGGGCGCAGAAGAGGGCGAAGGCGCAAGAGGAGCAGGGGAGTCCTTCCAAATCACCGTTCAGGCTCTTCCTGAAATCCCCGCTGAAGAAGAAGAAAAGGGCTGAGAAGGACCGAGATGAGGAACGTAAGAGGGAAGGGCAAGAGGAGGGGGAAAAGAAAGAAAGGAAGGAGGAAGGAAAAGAAGAAGAGGAGAAAGAGGAAATCAACAAAGAGGATGGCTGCACAGAGGCGCAGAACGACGCCCTCAGACGCCAGCAAGAAACCTTCCACAGTCCGGGGAAACGCACGCGAATCTTGGCCAGTCAGGGCAAAGAGCCGAGGTGGGTGTTAACCAATCACTCTCTGGGAAGGATCAGGGTGGGAGGAGTTAGAAAAAAAAATGGCCAATCATTCTACGAGAAATATCAGGGTGAGAGGGGTCAAGAAATGATTCAATTAAGGATTGGCAGGAAGGGATCGATTAGTTTAAGTAATTATCAGCCAGTGAAGTTTAGGTAATTGTCAGCCAATGAGGGATCAGTCCATGATTACAGTTATCCAGTTATCGAGCTGGTAAAACTTCCAGTAACGATCCAATATTTTTTTTCTTAATAAGAGCCTTCTCGATGGTGTAATCAGGAAGAAGCTGGTCGGAGGAAATATTATATATGACTCAGTAATTGAGCGTAATCGCCCTAATGAGGGTAATAATTGGCCCCGGTTCGGTTAGTTCATTACCTTGCTGGATGAGACCTGAAGCGGGAAGAAAGGAGAGGGAAAGTAGCTCTGCCTACATCTTTCACATATTTTATTTCGTTTCATCGTATTATATATTTATTTATCTCTTTAATTTTCATAAGTAGAATCCATGAAGAATGTCATTTCAGCCTTACCATGATTACATGGTTTCCATCACTGCAACATCACCATACTAGCAAGTATAGCGCCATCGTTATAAAATCCCCTTAATATCACATCACCACCATACTAGCTAGCGTCACCGGAGTAACATGGCGTTATAACATCGCCAAAGCAGTATAGCATTCATCATTATGTCATTGTAGCTTGGTGTCATCATTATGCCATATCAGAGGATCATCATGGCATATGTACTATAGCATCTACATCATATCGTCGGGATCAACATAACACAACCCAAAAAGTCAAAATCTAAAGATACTCTTACCTCTCTCTCTCTCTCACTCTCTCTATATATATTATCATTCTTATTATTATTATAATTTTATTTAAGTATTAGTGATACCGGAAAGGGAAGGGGAGGGAAGAAAAAGGAAGAAGAAAAATTATAATAGGGAGAGGTGGGGGTGCGAGGAGGGGGAGATAGAGAAACGTTAGATTAAGGAGACAAGTAGAGAGGGGATAGAGGGGGAAAGCGAAGGATAAAGGGAAGATGGGAAGGAGAGAGAAGGAAAGGAAAGAGAGAGGGAGGGAAGATACAGGAGAAGGGCAGGGCTTGGTGTTAAAGGTAATGGGGGAGGGGAATGGGTTAGGAAGAAGGGAGGGGAGGTTTGGAGGTGAGAGAGAAAGGAGGAAGGAGTAGGTGAAAGGAAAAGAAGAGGGCAGGAACTAAGGGAGGGAATGTGTAGGGGGATTAAGGGAGAGGGAGGAAAATAAGGGAGATGACAGGGATTATGGGAGAGAGGAGATTAAGGGAGATGAAAGGGATTAGGGGAGAGAGAAGGGATTAAGGGAGAGGAAAGGGATTAGGGGAGAGAGAACGGATTAAGGGAGAGGAAAGGGATTAGGGGAGAGGGAGGAGATTAAGGGAGATGAAAGGGATTAAGGGAGAGGAAAGAGATTAGGGAAGATGGAGGCGATTAAGGGAGAGGGAAGGGATTAGGGCAGAGGGAGGAGCTAAAGTAGAGAAAGTAGAGAGGTAGGGATTTGTTTAATATTTCATTTCATCATGACCCTCTCTCAGCATCCCGCTCTCTCCGCATGTGATCACGGCGCCTCTGCAACCTCACTATTTCCCCCTCATACAGCCTCCTCCTCACTATCACACACGTCACCATCACCACATCACCATCACACACCTTCACACAACCCCCTTCTCCCACCACCCCCATTTCCATCCACCCCTTCCTCCCCCAAGCCCCACCTCCTCCACCCACACCCACACACCCATCACCCCTCCCCTTCCCCCACTCACTCCTACTCACCCCTTCCCTCCCCCCCTACCCACTCCTACTCACCCCTCCCCTCCCCCCCACCCGCTCCTACTCACCCCTCCCCTCCCCCCACCCGCTCCTACTCACCCCTCCCCTCCCCCCCACCCGCTCCTACTCACCCCTCCCCTCCCCCCCACCCGCTCCTACTCACCCCTCCCCCCCCACCCGCTCCTACTCACCCCTCCCCTCCCCCCACCCGCTCCTACTCACCCCTCCCCTCCCCCCCACCCGCTCCTACTCCCCCCTCCCCTCCCCCCCACCCGCTCCTACTCACCCCTCCCCTCCCCCCCACCCGCTCCTACTCACCCCTTCCCTCCCCCCTACCCACTCCTACTCACCCCTACCCTCCCCCCACCACCTCCCCCCGCCCACTCCTACTCACCCCTCCCCCACCCGCTCCTACTCACCCCTCCCCTCCCCCCACCCACTCCTTCTCACCCCTCCCCTCCCCCCACCCGCTCCTACTCATCCCTTCCCTCCCCCCACCCGCTCCTACTCATCCCTTCCCTCCCCCACCCGCTCCTACTCACCCCTCCCCTCCCCCGCCCACAGACACCTGGACGCCTTCGAGTTCTACCGGGCGGAGGACGAGCGCGAGTGGGCGCGGCGCTACGAGGAGGTCCACGTGGACACCAAGAGCGCCTCCTCCATGTTCAAGCTGCTGCAGGCCAAGCTCCAGTACTCGGCAGCCTACCCGCACTTCCTCAGCCTGCTGCACCATCTGCTGCTCCTGCCCTGTGAGTTGGGGAGGGGGAGAGGGAGGGGAGGGAGGTGGTGGGAGGGTGGGACTGAGGCAGATTGGATGAGAGAGAGGAAGAGAGGGAGGGAGGGAGAGCAGAGGGCAGGATAAATGCGGGATTGATAGTGAGAGCAAGGAGAAATATATTGATCTATATATATATATTGATATATATCTCTATATATGTGTGCGTGTGTGTGCATATATATATATATATATATATATATATATATATATATATATATATATATGTATATATATATATATATATAAATATATATATGTATATAAATATATATATATATATATATATATATATATATATATATATATATTTATATACATATTTATATTTATATATATATTTATATATATATATGTGTGTGTGTATATATATATATAAATATATATATATATATATATATATATATATATATATATATAAATATATATATATATATAAATGTATATATATATATAAATGTATATATATATATATATATATATATATATATATATATATATATATAAATATATATATATATTGTGTGTGTATGCATGTGTGTACATATGTATATAGAAAGCGAGAGAGAGAGAGAGAGAGAGAGAGAGATTGAAATCGAGAGACCGAGAGACCGAGAGCAAAAGAGAGCGAAAGAGCGAGAGCAAGGGCCCGCCAACGAGCTCCACCGAGCCTATGTCCCTCCTGCAGCTGACCTGACGGCGCCGGAGCCCTGGATCCTGTTCGACCGCATCCTGCAGCAGCTAGTGACGCAGGCCGACGACGGCGCCGACCGCGAGGTGGCGCTGCTCGACATCAACGTCAACAGCATCGTTAAACTGTAAGTGGGCCGCTCCCTTGTTTGTTTTTTTATTGTTAGTAAGATTGTTTGTTTAGGGGGCCAATTGGACTCATTTGTTCCAAGTCTCTTTTCTGTTTGTTGGCTCACTCTCTGGTGAATTGGATGAAGCCCTTTGTGTAGTTATTTTATACAGAAGCATATGCCATAACGTGGTTTGAGTGTGCAGAGAATTATATGGATTTTTGTGCGATTTCATTCTAATCCTCCTCCTCCTCTTTCGCTTCCTCGTCTTCATCTTATTCTCCCATCCTCTTCCTACTCCTTCCTTTCTCCTCTTCCTCCCTCTCCCCCTACATTCCCCCTACTTTCCTTCCTCCTCCTCCTCCCCCTCTCCCCCTACTTTCCTTCCTCCTCCTCCCCCCCTTCTTCCCCCTCCTCAGAATCGCCAACGAGCGCGAACTGACGGAGAGCCGACGGAAGATCACGAAGCTGGAGGGCGACTTCGCGGACGTCGTGACGGACCTCAACCGCAAGGAGCAGGAACTCTTCAAGACGGCGCAGGAGAAGGTGAGGCGCGGGCGGGCGGGCGGGCGGTGAGGGCGAGGGGTGGCGTGGGTAAAGGGTGTGGAAGGAGGGAGGGAAGGTGAGGCGCGGGCGGGCGGGCGTGGGTAAAGGGTGTGGAGGGAGGGAGGGTAGGTGAGGAGGGAGGGAATGAGGGACGGAGGGAGGGAAGGAAGGAAGGAGGGAGGGAAGGTGAGGAGGGAGGGTGTGGAGGGAGGGAAGGTGTGGAAGGAGGGAGGGAAAGTGAGGAGGGAGGATGGGAGGGAATGAGGCAGGGAGGGAAGGAAGGAGGGAGGGAGGGAAGGAGCGAGGGAGAGAGGGAAGGAGGAAGGGTGTGGAGAGAGGACGGGAGGGAATGAGGGAGGGAAAGAGGGAGGGAAGGAGGGAAAGTATGGAGGGCGTAGTTAGGTCAGCGAGGAGGACGTGGGTGGAAAGATGTGGGAGGGATGGCGTCCGAGATAGGACGGCAGACGAGGGGCACGGGCGTTCGGATGGCGGGACTGGGCACGCGTAAGTATGAGTGGGTACTACCAGTCATGGAATAATCTGGAAAGAAAGACAGAAAGAACGACAAAAGAGCAGAAGTTCGAGCAGCGACTCTTCCCCAGGACGAGCTGGCGCAGACGCTGCAGCAGGTGCGGAGCCAGCTGGAGGGCGAGGTGCGCGCCGTGGCGGAGGCGCAGCAGGCGAAGGCGGAGCTGGAGGCGCGCGCCGCGCAGCTCACGCGCCAGGTGCAGGAGCTGGCGGCCGGCGCGCTCTCCGACGACGCCAGGGCCGCCATCGCCTCGGGCAAGGTACGCACGCACACGCACGCATACATACTCACGCACACGCTCACATTCATACATACGCACACGCATGCATACATAAACACGCACATGTACACATTCATACACACGCACACGTAACCGCACACATAAATACACACGCAAATGTACATCATACATACGCACACACATGCATACATAAACACGCACATGTACACATTCATACACACGTACACGTACACACGCACACATACATACACACGCCAGATGCACACGGACCCATCCGAGTGTTTATTGCTTGAGTTCTTTGTGAAGTAATTTGTGCTAAATTACCGTGATTATTGTCATTATTGTTTTAGTCTGTAAATAAAGGAACTTTTTTTTCTCTTCGTCAATTTTAATATTTTCTCTTTCATTCTGCCTCTCTCTCTCCCTCTTCCTCTCTCTCCTTCTCCTACTCTTTCTCCGCCCCCCCCCCCCCCTAGGACGCCGGCGACGCCCCCCGAGGAGCGCCGTGCCCGCCGCCGCCTCCGCCGCCGATGCTCAACGGGGCGCCCCCTCCCCCGCCGCCGCCCATGATGAACGGCGGGCCGCCCCCGCCGCCGCCCATGCTCAAGGGCGGCCCCCCTCCACCGCCCATGATGAACGGAGGGCCCCCGCCTCCGCCCCCGGGTCCCGGCGGGCCCCCTCCGCCGCCGCAGGCTAAGCCCGCGCGCCCCGCCAAGCAGGTGAGTCCGCGCCCCCGCGCCTGTAAAACGGAAGACGAGCCTCCGAGTGCCCCCCGAGCGCCCTCTAACGCCCCTCCTCCCCGCCCGCAGATCCCCAAGTCGGCGACGCAGCTGCGGGCATTCAACTGGTCCAAGATGCCCGACTCGCGCGTCTCGGGGACCATCTTCGCCGCGCTCGACGAGTCGCCGCTCTACAAGTTCATGGACCTCGAGGACATCGACAAGACCTTCGACGCCGCCGCCGGGAGGAAGGCCAACGGGGAGGTAGGAAGGGAGGGAGGGAGGGAGGGAGAGGGAGGGAGGGAGGGAGGGAGAGAGAGAGAAAGAGAGAGAGAGAGAGACAGAAAGAGAGAGCAAGAGACAAAGAAAGAGAGAGACAGAAAGAGACAGAGACAGAGGAGAAAGAGAGAGAGAGAGAGAGAGAAAGAGACAGAGACAGAGGAGAAAGAGAGAGAGAGAGAGAATGTGTACATATGTATGTATATTGGTATAAATATATTCTTTCCATTCGTAAACCAAACAATTTGCTAATATTATTTTTTTCCCCTTCCTCCATACTTCACTTACCTCCTCTTTCCTTCATCCTCGTCTCCACCTCACACTCTCTCTCTCTTGACTGCTGAATCTTCCCTCTGCCCCCCCCCCCTCTCTTCCTCCATCCATCCCATCCTCCCTCCCTCCCTCTCTCTTTTCCTCCATCCATCCATCCCATCCTCCCTCCCTCCCTCCCTCCCTCGCACCCTCCATCCATCCCAATCCACATATCACCCCCCCCCCACCTCCCTCCTCTTTGTCCCTTTGACCTCCCCCCCCGCCCCCTCGTATTTCCTCATCCCCTTTTCTTTCTCCTGCGCACGAATCTCCCCCTTGTTTTCCCTTTTCCTCTTCTCTTCCTTCCTGACCCTCCCCCCCCTCCATAATTCTCCCTCCTCTCCGTCCCTCTTACCCGTGCTCCCCCCTTATTTCCCCCCCCTTCTTCCCCCTCCCCCTCTTCTTCCCCTCCCCCTCTTCTTCCCCTTCCCCCTCCCTCCCTCTCCCCCTCCCTCCCCTCTCCTCCCCCCCCTCCCTCCTCCCCGCCCCTCAACCCCCAGGGCGAGAAGACGCTGGAGAGGATGAAGTCGCACCGCGCGCAGCTGAGCGTCCTGGAGAACCGCCGCCAGCAGAACTGCACCATCCTGCTCTCCAAACTCAAGATGACGAACGACGGACTCATCAGGTGAGGGGGAGGGAAGGGGAGGGGGGGGGAGGGAGGGGGGAGGGAGAGGAATTGTTGTAACATGTTCTCCAGGAAATTTGATCTGTTTCGCCGTTAGTATAGTAATACTAGTGATGATGATGATCATGATAATGATGGTATTAATGATAATAATGTTTAATGAAAATACTAACGATGATAATGATTATAACAATAATAATGATGATAATAATAATTTGACTGATAATCATGATAATGATGGTAATAATTATGATAATGATAATAATAACACCAAAAAATAACGAACAGCAATAAAAAACTGAAATTGATTTCCTTCCCCCCCTCCCCCTCCCCTTCTTCCCTTCCCACACCCCAGGGTCCTGCTCAAGATGGACAGCGACGGGGAGTTGGCGCCCGACATGGTGGAGCAGCTGCTGAAGTTCACGCCCACCGCCGAGGAGAAAGTGATGCTGGAGGAGCACGCGGACGAGATCGAGAACCTCGCGCGCGCCGACAGGTTCCTCTACGAGATCTCCAAGTGCGTCCTGGTGGTCTCGTTGATTGACAGCTTCCTTTTGATTGCTGTCTCGTTGATTGGGCGGAGTTTGGTTGAATGACTCATTAGTAGCCTTAATTAACTTTTTTTTTTTTGTTTCTCTTTATTTGTTTCCTTGGTTATATGTTTATATTTGCAGTGGATACGTCTCGAAAAGCCAAAGCCAGATCATGAGCGGTACTTTTAAGTATAAATATCCAAACGCAAACGGCAGTCAGATAGCAAGCACTAACGGCTAAACCCCTCCCCTCCCCCCCTTGCCCTCGCCCTTCCACCTGCTCTCCCCTTTCTGCAACCTCACCCTTTCTCCTTCCGCCCCCTCCCCCTCCCCTCCATCTCCCTTTCCCCTTCCGCCCACCCCTCCCCTCTCCCTCCCCCTTTCCCCTTTCACCCCCCCCTCTCCCCTCCGTCCTACATCCCCCCTCCCTTTCCCCTTTTCCCTCCCTTTCCCCTCCCTCCCCCTTTCCCCCCTTCCACAGGATCGAGCACTACGAGGAGCGCCTCCGCTGCCTGCACTACCAGAAGAAGTTCAAGGAGCGGCTGGCGGAGTGCGAGCCCAAGATCGCGTCCGTCATCAGCGCCACCAAGGAACTCCGCAACAGCAAGCGCCTCAAGAAGTTCATCGAGGTCGTCCTCGCCTTCGGGAACTACATGAACAAGGGTGAGTGGGGGAGGGAGGGTGAGGGGAGAGAGAGGGTAGGGGAGGGAGGGAGAGGGTGGGGGAGGGAGGGGGGAGGGAGAGAGATAGAGAGAGAGAGAGAGAGAGAGAGAGATGGGGGTAGGGGAGAGGGGAGAGAAAGAGAAAGAGAGAGAGAGAGAGAGAAATGGAGATAGATAGATAAAGAGAGAGAGAGTTGTGATAATAGCCGTCTCTTGCCTATCTTGCCATTCTCATCGCCATCGCCACCCCCTCACCCCCACTCCCCCAAGTACTAACCCCCTCCCCCTTCCCTTCCCCCCACAGGCGCGCGCGGGGGTGCGTACGGCTTCCGCGTGTCCTCCCTCAACAAGCTGACGGACACGAAGGCCTCGAGCAACCGCGCCATCACGCTTCTGCACTACATGATCCGCGTCTGCGAGAAGCAGTGGAGGGACGTCGTGCGCCTCGACGAGGACTTCCCCAGCGTCAAGGAGGCCGCGAAGGTCAAGTAAGTAGGGGGGGAAGGGGGGGAGGGAAGGAGGCCGCGAAGGTCAAGTAAGTAGGGGGGGAAGGGGGGAGGGAAGGAGGCCGCGAAGGTCAAGTAAGTAGAGGGGAAGGGGGAGGGGGAGGGGGAGGGAAGGAGGCCGCTGAGGTCAAGTAAGTAGAGGGGAAGGGGGAGGGGGGGAGGGAAGGAGGCCGCCGAAGTCTAGTAAGTAGGGCGGAGGGAGGGGGAGGGATCGTGGGAGGAGGGCGGGAGGGAAAAGGGAAGAGGGTGGGAGAGATAGAAGGCTAAGTCAGGGAGGAGGGAAGGAGGGAAGAGGGACAGAGGAGGGAGGGCGGAAGGAGGGTCAGGAGGGGGAAGGCGGGAAGAAGGGGAAGGGGGGATCAGAGAGATGAGAAGGGAGGGAAGGTGGAGGAGGGAGGGAAGGAGGGGAAGAGGGAAGAAGAGGGATAGGATGGTCAGGAAGGGAGAGGGAAGGAAAAGGGAGGGGAAAGGTAGAGAAGAGGGAAGGGAGAAGGAGGATAGAAGGGACGAGGAGAGGTAGGAAGGAAAGACGAAGAAGGAAGGAGGAGAGAAGGAGGGGAGGAGAAGGGGCTGGAGGAAAGAGGGAGGGGCAGAAGGGACATAGGAGGGTTAGGGGGGAATAGGGAAGGAAGGAAGAAGGAAGGAGGAGAAAGGAGGAGGGAAAGAGAGGTAGAGAGAAGAAAAAAGAAAAGAGGGGAGAGAAGGGGGCAGGAGGGAAGGAGGAGGGGTTAAGAAGATAAAAATGATTTTATTGAAGATGTTGTGATGATAAATATTTTAGGTAGAAAGATATAATGAATATATCCTTCAAATTATAGTGATGGCAGTGAGTACATTGTTTTGATTGTGATAATGATAACAATACAGCATTTGAAGTGTAGATAACATTTACAGTCTTTAATTTAGAGCAACGAGAGTAAACATAACAAGTCACATCAGTGCCAAAATGCTAATAATACTTTTCCTACCCCTCCCCCCCCATTTGCTTGCCCCCCCCCCCACTGTTCTTTCCTCACTCCTCCCCTTCCCCTCCCCTTCCCCCCTCTTCTCCCCCGCCCCCAGCATCACGGAGCTGGAGCGCGAGACGAGCAGCCTGCGGTCGGGCCTGGAGTTCATCGAGCG